CCGAGGATTTCGCTGGCCAATTTAAAACTTTAAGCTCTGGGGGTGTAGTGCAAACCACTTTTGAACGGTACAAGAAGTATGGACAGCACTGTTCTCTCGGAACATGGAATGCGACGTGCGATCTCTTCGTTTATTGCACCACACTCCCACATCTCAATAATGCGTCCACTTTGGTAAATATATCTTCCATGATCGCATATAATGGCACGCAAGGACACGACTGTTAGAAGAAACAGCAATGAAAGAAACAAATACATCTCGGCAAATGTTTTTCCTATATCTCCTTGCTCTTCTTTTTTTTTTTGAACGAGCGCGAAACAATGTAGAGACGCGCAAATGTAAAGACGCGAAACAAGTACGTCGGCGTAGCGAGATAAAAGGTGCGTTGCCGATGCGCTTCTGCATTCGCAAAATCTATCCAGAAGACGATATGCCGACAATTCGACTGTTTCAAGATAACAGTGCTTAAAGTTTTTAATTGGCCAGCGAAATCCCCGATTCTCAATTTAATAGAAAACGTATGGGCAAAAATTGTGAATTCGTGGAATCCTGCTCATAAGAGAACTAGAGCAGCTTTGATTGCACACGCGAGGAACACATGGGAAAATCTTAGACAGGAGTCTCAATTTTTTCAACATCTGCACAATTCGACCAACGCCCGTCTACAACAAGTTGCTGCACGCCAAGGCCACTGGACGGATTATTAAAATAGTTCTTTTCAGAACCAAGTATCAAACGGCTCCTTTCAGAGCCACTCAAATATTTGTTAACAAAGGAACACTTCCGTGTGTGTGCATAATTATTTCAGTAAAATAATTATGCATACACGTAATAAAATAATTTAATATGTTTGCTATCAACGTCACATATATGCACCACACTGATATCTCACTTAGATCCAATATCGCATATGTGTGACAGTAAAAATTTTTTTTCTGTATCTATACTATCATATAAAGTCTATTTAATATTATTAAGTAAAAAAAAACACGAATTAGTCTGTGGCAATAGTCCTCTAAATCTGTAGCAGTCTTTATACTCTCCCGCTTTCTCACACACATGTCTTTATCAACGCAACATTTATTCTTTCGCTGCTCGTGTTACCATTCCATCAATCACTGCAACACGTGCGTATGGCTGGCACCTTTCTAATCTAAATTCCATGTTTTTGTATATAGTGTCCAAAAATTACATTCCTTTTATGCAACTTCTTTTGTTAGTAACTTTTTAACGAACAACGAACGATCGCTAAAATCTTCTGAAGGTTACTCAGGGTCATCACCTTTACAACATATATCAAGATCAAGGTCATCCGAGGCAGTGCTGGGAGTTCGGGATATTTTCTAGCTGACCGGAGCCCTTCTGCGCAAGCGTGAGATGACGTAGCAGCTCGATGTAAGCAGTTTACAACGACGGCGTTAGACACGAGTAAAGGGTTTTTAGGGGACATGCATAAAATACTCGGCCGTCTGTGTTGTTTGCCCGCGAGTGGTTAGGATTAGGTTAGATGTAGTGAAATGTTACAATAATAAATTAGCATAATTAATATAGTTATAATAATTAGTGTAGCTGTGTGTGTGAAAAAATGTGATAATATAATATGTATATATATTATATATTTATAATAAATAAAATGTAATATAAAAGTGCAAATTTAATATAAAGTGATACTGTGATAAAAAAAAGTGCAATTATAATATTAAGTTAATTAAAGAAAAAAGTGCCGTATTGAAGAAAGAAATGGATCATCAATAGCCTTCGTCATCAAGTGGCATTGAGAAAAAGAAGAGGAAATGTGTGAAAAAAAAATTTCAATATGCATGGTTAAATATGAATACTTTCAAAGATTGGTTGGCTGCAGAAATTATAAAATAAAAAATATATTTATTTTTACTCATGAATAGCATTCTGTTTCTTCCCACAAACTTTCTTTTCTCCCTACAATCCCATCATATTTTCTTTTAGGTGAGGGATCTTACGATACCTTAAAATAGATACGGCGCTGAGGTTACCACAGCGTTTACTCAATGCGCGTGCGCGAAAATATATCCCGAACTCCCAGCACTGATCCGAGGGGGATACACTAATGTAAAGGTTTACCGATAGAATTTTTCAGCAAAAGTTCAGCACATTTCATTATGTTTTCAGCAAATTTCATTATATTTTCAGCAAAATTTTTCCATCAGAGTATCTACGAGAAAAATTAAACTATTGAAATTAGCTATCATTCCTTTTGTGACAAAATCAGTGTTGACTAGTAGTATAATTGTTAAAACTCTCCCTAGAATGTTTGTAATAAATAAATAAATGTTACAATTGTGAATATCTTACAAGAAACTATATTTTTTAATACTTCTACTATATTTGGGAATACATAAACATTATTGACGTTTCATTATTTAAACAACTAAACGACTAAAAAATGGTTTTTACTTTCAAAATTTATAGCATTTTTATTCTACAAACCTGAGAAAGTACCTGCAATATTTAAAGATTTGAATATGGATCATCAGCGAATGTTCGATATAATCAAAGGAAGTGGATTAAAATGGGTGGCGGTATTACCACCTCATATAGCGGGTATGTGTGGTATTTGGAAACATAAACTTTGACATTTTTGAAAAATTTAATGAATTTTGTTTCTTGCAGATGCACCTAAATCGAAGTATATTGTCACGTTTGACTCCTCCCCTGGCCGTGCAGTCTCAAAATACGACTTGGGCACTTTTCTTATTGAATGTCTCAAAAACCCTGAATATCACCAGAAAGTATGTGGTATTGCTACTGTATGATGATATATATGATAAAAGAGGATGTGGGTATACATATAAATAAGAATCATATATATGTTTTATTCTTTTCTAGTAAAAAATATATTATTCACGTAAATATACGTACATATAGCAATGAATTTGTAGTTTTCATTATACAACCAATACGATTATCAATACAATTGTATGAATTAAATATAAGGAAGCAAATGTAATCATTTTAGTGTACAACTAAAAAATAATAAATACAGATGAAATAATATTTCAGTTAGAAAGAATTGCGGTTTGATTCACGAAACTAGTTAAATTTAGAAGCTAAGAATATATTTTTTAAATACAGCATAAATCAAATTTATAAAAATAATTATATTGAAGTTAACAAAGAATAGACCCAGATAGCACAGAGATGAATAGAAGTTTATAGAGGATTCATTGTAAAGAATACCTAAAGAATTAGAAAATGAATATCTGAAGAATTCCTGAAAAATTATCCGAGCCTAATTCATTCTAAAGTATTCCTTGGAACTTTATTATAATGAATATTTCGTGAATCATTACTTGAGATACTCTGAAAATACGTGAGAAATTACTATTATTAACTAATTTTATTTACATTTTATGGTTACGTTAAACGGATATCCCATCGCTTATAATAAGCGTTGATTTATATATTTATATCTAAATTTAATTAAATCTTATATAATAAGGTTATATAGTATAGGTTTTTTCTTTAATTGTATTCTTTTATAATTACTCAAAGTTTATAGTGTTTTCTGACATTATCTATTTAATAACAATAAAACAATAAAAACAAATGTTTACTATAAAAATTTAAAGATAACGAAATGAAATATGTGGGATTTTGTAGACCTTACTTCATTAGCTAAGGGTTAAATTAACAATAAAAGTACGTAAAAAATATAATTTTTATTAAAATTAAATCATTTTATTAAATTATATTATCAAAAAATTATATCACTTTATTAATTGCAACACATATAGACAAAATGTAAGACGTTTATATCGATCAAAGAAGTGGTGTAGTGTCTAAAGCAATAGACTCATAATTCAGAGGTGCCTCCAAGGTCCCACTAGTGCTAGTGAGAATTTTTAAATGTGATGTAACATTGGAATCGAGTAATCTAAAATTTTCAAGTAAAATCAACAAACACTGTGATATTTACAAATAGTTTTTGTTAGAAAAAAAATAATACATATCATATATAAAAAAATTTATAAAGTATATATCTGTTATTCCATAAGTAATTTAAAATGAATACTTTAAGAAGTTGTCAGAAATTCCAATTATGGTGCATATAATTTCCTTAGTTGTTCCTAAAGTATACTCTTACGAATTCTTAAAGAATTACGTTCAAGAAAGAAGAATACTTCGGGAATACTTTAAGAATTCATTGTGCTATCTGGGATATTTGGAATATCTTGCATATATGTACTATTTGTTATCTCTTATTACGAGAAAGTACGAATTAAACGTCTTACGTCATTGTATTGAGCGAGTTGCTACACAGTTACGCGGCGCATATCGAGTACATATATGGAGAACTTTTCATTTTACGATCGGTCTGTATCTCAGAAAATAACATTATTATATATAATTAAATTCGGAATAAAATACCCTTTAATTTGGTCTAAACAAAATTCTTAGATTGCAAAAAATGAGTGAGGGGGGGGGATTCAAAACAATTTTGCAGTTGGCATCATCTCCTTATTAGTAACGAAAACCTAGTTAATAACACGAATTACTAATCTAAGCGATACTACAACAGTAGGGCATTAAATCGGGAAATAGTTGACTTAGCCATGACCTTTAAGTACGAAATTTTGATTATTACAAGCTCTAAATTACTAACGATCACTCTACATTACTAGAGAATCGCAAAGGAATGCGAAGAAGAGGAGACTGAGATTTTATTTTAGTAGTTATTTACAGAGACGGAGTAGCAACGAACAGTTAAAACTGATTGAGACTCACTCAATACTTCGGATCGTGCGTAAGGGTGGTGGCCATCAGCTCTGGCGAGAATATTGGAAAAAGAAGGAGCCCACAAGGCGCCGTAATCTGCCTCGATGTTGAGGTGGTCCACAAGTTGTCACTCCCGGTTAAAGAAATAGTGTTTAGCAGATTTTTGAAAGCGATTTAGAGTATCAGCGAAATCGCTCTAATAACAGAATTTGGATTCGATGTACAAGAAAGAATAATAATAATAAAAGAAATCGAGACCGACTACTGAAAATAATCGAGACCATTACAAAGTTAGAGACTAACACCTTCTAAATTCTATTATTCGGAGCAGAGAGAAATTCTCTTGAACACTACTCGTCTATTCGATGGTCTCGACGTGAGTCTTGCGGATACCGCGTTAGGTCAACGGCTCCTTCTTCCTTGTCTAAGCGAGGCATGGTTACCGGACACCCGGAGCCAACAATGATAAGACCAGTGGGAAAGACGCTATTATTTTTAGCTTTTTAGCAAATACCAAAATACGAGCTAAATGCGGACACAAATTGCTATTATTTTGATATAGAATTCTGATCAAATTTATTGCCAATCTGCATGCAGTCTGTAATCAATTACTGAGTACGTGTATAGATTTTATATAAAGTATAATCACTTAAATTAGCCTAAAGTTGTTAACTTAACTTAAACTAGCCTCACTTAAATTAGCCTAAAGTTGTTAACTTAACTTAAACATAGATTATGTACTTATAAATTTCTGTGGATTCTTTATCATTTGTATAATTAAATAGTGTTTCTGTTTACAAATTACCAGCTGAGATAACTATTATTTTTGTTATTGATATCCACATAGTCAAACCTACTCAAACAAATTTTAAATAGAGCTTGCTACACATTTTTGATGGCAAAAAAGTAGTAAACAACACAGAATTCGTCATATCTGATTATATTGCCAAACTGTCTGATTATATCGCCAGAAATATGACAGAGTCTGCTGACAGGTAATCCGAACAAAGCCTGTAACGTTTTGTCGGCAGATTGGCAGCAGAAACGGAACAGATGTTGCGTGATAAGATCTGCGCGGTTTCTGCTGCCAATCTGTTCGCATTGCTCGTTAGACAACACAGCATAAGCTGAATGCGGGCGCAAATAGTTATGGTTTTGGTATGAAAGAGTGTGGCAAGTTTAACCCCATTTTTTGTTTAAATTTGAAAATAATCATAATTTTTTTTTTTTTTTTAAAGCTTACTGCGAATAAATTCCAAATATATAAGTATCAAGGTAGCGCTCCGTTTCAGAGAAAAATGGTCCAAGAGTTTCACTTCCGCCTCTCCTCTCGAATGCCGCCTCTCCTTTCCGTGATACTACTATATTTGGAATCTATTCGCAATAAGCTTTAAAAAAAAAACCAAAATTATGAACAAAACTTATTTTCAAACTTACAAAAAATGGGGCTAAATTCCTATAGCGGTTTGGCCGCACTCTTTAGATCAAATTTGCTACCAATCTGCACGCACTTTGCTATCAATTTGCTTACTAGGTAACATGACTATTGAAATAAATTAACCAGTATTTTTATAATTAAATAAAGCTATATATTTATTAGTTTTACTATTATTGCGGAACATTGAAGAAAAATTAGTTTTGTTTTTTTAATATAACGTGTTTAAACAAAGCTAAAAAACAATTAGAAAGATAGTTTTTTATATAATATATTATTATATAATATATTATATATAATATATATATTATATATATTATATATATATTATATATATATTATTATATAATATATTATTATATAATATATTATTATATCTCTCTCTTTCTCTCTCTTGTGCGAATTCCGCATAATTTAATATTAAATATTTTATTTTAAACTATATATATATATATATATATATATATATATAGTTTAAAATAAAATATTTATTGTAATATATATTGTGTATATATATATATATATATATATATATATATAGTTTAAAATAAAATATTTATTGTAATATATATTGTGTATATATATATATATATATATATATATATATATATATACACATATTACCTTACACATACACTCAAACGCACACACACACATATGTATGAAAGGAAAACATGCATTTTGTAAACAAAAGAATAGTTAAAATAGAAAGAATACTAACAAGGCGTCAAAGTTTCACAAACTACGGGCTCATGTATCGCCACCGATAAAAACAAATAGCTAAAAATCCTTTTACATACAAGCAGCAATCAGAGCAAACATAAGTAACAGAGATTGTCTGCCTAATGCCTTCAAAATTACACATGTAAAGAAGAAACTTTTATAAATTGATACTCCGACCCAGAGACTTACATATTTATTCATGACATTTTATTACTCATGATTCACTGCGAGTTTTCTTAAGGGGGGAATTACATGCGGAAGGCCGTTTTCCAGGCTATTTTTACGAATTTTTTTAACAGTAAGATCAATAACAGGATCAGTAGAATCAATAGCTTTGAAATTTGCACAGTGTATTCATTAATGTTCAAAGTATAAAATAAATTTTATTGAAGCGCAAGAATCGATCCACTTTGTAATTATAGATAAAAATGCAGTCATTCATTTGCGAGTTATATGTTTGCTGTCGACATAATTCCGAGCCTCTCACTATTCTGAAACCAAAAAATGAGAAAGAATTTTAAAATATACGGTTGCCGTTATAGCCCGTACCAAGATGAAGGCAGTAAAGCCAAGTTTGGAAAAATAATGACTGTACAAAGAAAAATGTATCGAAATTGAAGCTTTTTTTCAACTTTTAATCGTGTTAAAAAATGAATAAAATAAAATATAACTGTGTTCGAGGTAAGAGCGAAAACTGCATGTCTACTATATATTGTGTAAAAATTTCAAGTTATTCGGTTTAGTAGTTTTTGCGTAATCGTGTCGACAGTTTAAGAAAATGTCGTTTTCAGAAAAACGCGTTTAAAGTTTTATGTATACTTTCCACATAGATAGTAACAAAGTTTTTGAACTTACGATCAATCAGCCATTGTAGGTGCATAAAATGAGTCTTCATCTTCCTCAAAAAGTTCTCCAGAGGCCACTTGTCTCTCAGCTTTCGGATCTAACCCTCTGATTCAATAGAGAATCGACGCTCCACGCGATTAATACGTTCGTGGTCTTATAAAGTGCAAACATCTCCGCTCTTCTGCCGATTTTCACGTCCATAACTGACAAAATTTTAAAAATAGGTGCATATCCTTCGTTAAAAATAGCAACGATTAGAAATGTCGCTATTTTCATTGTTTTTAAGCTTACGTGTATATGTTTTGGTACGAAGTGCCAAATCATCGCATTGAGACTTTCGTTATTATTTTGCGTGTTTACACCCAAACATCTCATCAGAAGGTCGTCTCTTGAGAAATTCTCGTACGTTGACTTTATTACTTCGAGAATTTTTTTCATTTTTTAAAGGCTAGTAATCGTTTTTAAAATCATCTAAAGTTTCCTGCGTCTCAGCGCGTCGCCACGCGCACCAGCTTGATGAACCTAGCGAACATTGCATATGCTGAGGCTTGGTGTTACTGGAACTTTTATGAAAATAAGTGGTCCAAATTTTAATTCTCATATCTTCCATCGAGTTTGGAGTGCCGTCTAATAACCATAATATTTCGTGAGATTATGGATAGTTTTGTCTGTCTTAGGTTTGTTTTGTCTTAGGTTTCCAACTCCTTTGCCTCCGATGCTTCCATTATTTTTTTAGCATTTCTCAATCTCGTACTCTTTCTTCTCTGTACGTGACGTCTGATCTGTTCGTCCAAATAATAAGCAAAGAGGACCTTCGCGCGACTTACAATTAGTAACGATACTTCAGGCCAGCGCGCCTTTGTATTCAAACCGCTCCTGCTTCGTCAATTTTTCGATATCCTTCTAACTTCACACAAATATTTTCAAATGTATATTTTAAAAATATGCAATAAAAAATGGCTAAAAATTTTTTTTTTCATGTAATTCCCCCTTAATCTCATAATCTATCGGGGTTGTAAGATTAAATAATTATAAGAACAAATGACAATTACACATATATACACAAACATACACACATGCATGCACAAACGCACACATAAACACATCCGCGCGCACATACACATGCGCACACATACACACATTTTTTTATATTACTAGATTGCTAACTTCCTCAATTTTGTTTATGTAAAATATTCTCAAAAAGTATGTACTAAAAAATACAATTCTGTGTATGAAGATCCGGGAAAAAAAAGTTCAGACAAAAGCCAGATATGGATTTTGTCAAGATCTGATCAGATATAATCAGATATAATGTTATATATGATTCAGATCTGTCAGATATATAATAATATATAATCATATATACAATTATATATGATTATACATGATTATATATGGACAAATCTTGAGTGGCAGTTGTAAGGGAGTGGACAAAGGGTTCACTAAAAGAACAGGTTAATTATACAGAACTTTACTCAATACAACTTGCGTATACACACAGGGCGAACAGAACAGAGAGCTCTCAGTCTAACAGCAAACATAGAGTACAAAAATATGTAAATAGACAAACTCAAGTATGAAACGAGGAAACAATATGGCATTATATACATGCTTATCCAATAGATCTAAATCATATATAACGTTATATCTGATTATATCAGGTTTTGTTAAAATCCATATCTGGCTTTTATCTGAACTTTTTTTCCGGGGATATATGCAGTATATTATTCTTCCATATTTGCTTACATATTTTGTCCATGTTTTCTATAGTTCTCACCTGTATACAATTGAGGGAAATATATTAAGTCACATGTAAATATTACACACACACACACACACACACACACACACACACACACACA